TGTTCGTGTTCGGCTCGTTTACATTTCGAGCTTAAAAATTTGTTCGTGTTCAGCTCGTTAGGCTTAACGAACGAGCCGAACACGAGCTGCTTAACTAGCCGAACACGAGCTGTTCGCGAACAACGAGCCAAATTGACAGCCCTAATAGCTCCCATCCGGCAAAGGTGAGGAAGGTAGGGTTATGGTTAATTTTAATTGTTAACCTGTCATGGTTGGAAAATTTTAGGTAAAAATGAAGAAAAAATATTAGATCAGACGTACAGTTGCGTTTGAAGTTTATTGATATGTGAACACATGGAGATGATAAAAAAAAAATTTAAAAATCATTTTAACATAAGAGAATATTTTTCGTATTATTACGCATTATTCAGGTGTTATTATGATCATAATCATGTGTTACTGTGTTCTGAAAATATTTCCGGTGTTATAATAACACAATAATACATAAATATCACCACAATAACACCTGAATAACGTGAAATAATACAAGAAAAATATTCTAATCAGGCTGGATCACAAAAAAAACACGTCCGTTTTCTTGAACTTGCTTGTTCACATATAGTTAGGGGTGTAAACGAGCCGAACACGAGCGAGCTCCCCGTAGGGCAAACAAGGATATTGTCGGGCTCTTTGACTCATTTTATATATTATAACTAAAGGGTTACAAGAGAGATAAGGAGAGAGATCCTCTCACGGAGTATATGTTTAGAGAATAAAGCAAAAAATCCTTTTACAAGTATTGAAGCTCTATTTACATTGATAAACATATATATCCCTTTTTTAATTGGGGTTACATGACAATATTGTCATTTCTTGTATCTTTTCGTATCTGTAATTGATTTTGACATCTTTTAATGTATCTAGACCTTCCGGTCGCCAAGTCCTCAAATTGGTCGACCGAGTTGGTATCAATAGACTATTTTGTTTGATTGTCGGTTGATCTTCGATTTGAGAATTCGGTCAGCTTTAAGAGTGGTAGTTGGTGGGCCCTAGTGTGGTCGATCACCTTGTTTACTCCTTGAAGATCTTTGGGTGAAGTGTTGCGAGGGTCTCACAATAATACTTATGAGATTGTTGAGGGTATTAGATATTTGTTCAGTCGCTGGGGTGAATTTTTGTTTGTTTTCGGCTAGTCTGGGTGACCCTAAGGTAGTTGGAATTGGTCTTCAGTCGATTAGCGGTTATTCAGTCGTCCACAAGCCATTCAGTCGGTTGACGTTTCTTCAGCCAATCGGTTTTATGAGTACTTGCAGCTTTTGTTAGAGGGATATTACTTATTTATCTCTATTAATCTAGGTTGTTAGATTGTCTAAATATTAGACCTTTTTTTGAGTGCAGGGAACATGTCAAAACTAAAATTGATGTTGTCAAAAGTTGAAATATTTTTTATTCATTTTATTAATATATAGGGCCATATGAGCACCCTTGATGTGGATGCATTCCAACATATGTTTTATTGCTGAAAATCATAAATAGTTCAAGAAAGTGTTAAAACAGAGAATTCAGCGCATGTCCGTATTTATTGTATTTTTTTATGTAACATAAATATTGCATTTATAATTTGTATAAAGCTAGATGTTAAAATATAAAATTAATATACTAATTTTAGAACGTCAATTCTTATCCAATACTCGCATATAAAATAAAAATAAAAAATAAAAAATAAAAAATAAAAAATAAAAAATAACATTAGTTTATTTTCACATGTCAGGTTCGATTATGAAAACTTTTATCATCATTAATGATTAAGACAGATTAAGAGAAACTGCGCATAAGACAAAGTTCACATCACTATTAGCATCATTTCAACAATCAATAGCTCCCATCCGGCAAAGGTGAGGAAGGTAGGGCTATGGTTAATTTTAATTGTTAACCTGTCATGGTTGGAAAATTTTAGGTAAAAATGAAGAAAAAATATTACATCAGACGTTTGAAGTTTATTGATATGTGAACACATGAAGATGACATAAAAAAATTTAAAAAACTATTTTAACATAAGAGAATATTTTTCCTGTGTTATTACGTATTATTCAGGTGTTATTGTGATAGTAATCATATGTTATTGTGTTCTGAAAATATTTCCGGTGTTATAATAACACAATAATACATAAATATCACCACAATAACACCTAAATAACGTGAAATAATACAAGAAGAATATTCTACTGTTATCGGGCTGGATAAAAAAAAAACACGTCCATCTTCTTGAACTTACTTGTTCACATATAGTAGACTCTAAAATTAACTCTATGAGTCAGTCTATGTAATATTTTTCTAAAAAGGAACTAGTAGACTCTAAAATTAACTCTACCTATTTCTGAGTCAGTCTATGTAATATTTTTCTAAAAAGGAACTACGCATTAAAAAAAAAGACGGAGCATTAGTCATAACAAACGCAAAATAAGACAAAAGTCATACAGCTCCTTAATATCGCAGAGCCACCTCATTAGTACATAGACCATATCATTCAATCATATCATCCACATGGCATAATTCAAAGACCCTCGGTAAGCGTGACACCTGTACTACATAGACCATATTATTCGATCAGATCATCCACATGGCATACTTCAAAGACCCTCGGTAAACGTGACACCTGTGCTCCCAATCCACTCCCCTCCCTGAATCAGCTCCGCCACCGTAAATTGGCGGGCAACTTTCTGATCAGTGATCACGTGATACCCCTTCCACTTCACCCGTCCGGCCGTTCCCGCACCTGGTCCAGAATCCTGATACTCCCCATAGAACAAAGTGTCCAGCGCAAAATCACCATCCCACTCCAACCACCCTTTCGGATTCACATGATCATCAATATACGACTGCAGCACCACCGTCCTCGAGTACTGCTTCCATGGCCGCCCCAGATAGGTGGAAAATGAACCCGTAATCGGCTTCAGCTCCGACGACGGCACCAATCTGCAGTTTTGGATTGAAGTCCCCGTGTTCTGGTTCGGGTCGATCCGTCCCTGTGCTGTTATGGCGTTCTTTTGGCCGGCCATTGGTTTGCGAGCCTCCAACACAGAGTTCTGAAACACCACCCCAGCGTTGCCGAAGATGAAATCCACGGTTCCGGATATCTGCGAGTCGCGGTAGAATTGACGGAGAGAGTGCGTGTAGAGTGTGTCCTGATACGCTTTTAATTGGCACCGGTTTACTACGGACCGATCTGCATTGATCCGGAGAGCCACGGCTTGGTGCTTCTCTGGACCGGCCGTGTTCTCCACGCCTAAATCTTGAAGCACGAATCCGTCGCCCATCGCCGCTGCACATAAACAAGTTATAATCATTCACGCCCGTTTGTTTATTGATTGAATTTGAGCGAGTCAAACAAACCTAATGTGGCAGAATTGTAGGTGGTGGACCCGTCAACGACGTTTAAGCTCCCTGTTATGATGGTGGCGCTCTGTCCATCTCCGACGATCATCAAATTCTTCTTCTTCTTGCTTACAATAACATTTTCTTTGTAAGTCCCCTTCTTCACATAAATTACAAACCGACTCTTTCCGTTATCGGGCGACGCGTCAACAGCGGCCTGAATGGTTTTATAGTTCCCGCCGCCGCCTGCGGCGACGGTCACGTCAGCCGTAATCGCTGCCAGAGAGGGTGACTCTAGAAGCTTCCGGTCGGCTGGGGTCAACCCAGGGGGGAGAGCCGCTCTAGAAGCTTCCGGTCGGCTGGTGTCACCCAAGCGGGGAGCGCCGTTATGGTTTCTGTTGCATCGCCATCATCAACCGTGATGGCGCGGAGGACGGCGAGGGCGGCGCTGGCCTGAGCTGTGAGGGAGTCAAGATGAGATTTTAATGGCGACGAGGTCTTCAGGCCGTCAAGGCATGTGTCGTGGTTGGTGAGCACGGCGCTGAGCCAGGTGCGGACATCCTCATAAGATCCGGCGGCGATGGCGGCGTTGGAGCTCAGAATGCGGTCGCGGGAGAGATCGAGGAGCTCGATGCAGTCGCTGATGTGGGGATCGTTTGACTGGCGGAGGAAATTTGTGGATTGGGAGAGGGAGGCGTGGATGTCGAGGAGGGAGCGGCGGAGGAGGGAGTGGAGGAGGGAGGCTGGTGATCGGGCGGCTGAGGTTAGGTCTGACAGGAGGGCGGTGCAGGAGTTGAAGTTGGGGGAGTGGATGCAGAGATCGGACGGCTGTTCGTTGTTTAGGGCAAGATGGACGGTTAGATGGTAAGGAGCGAAGATAATGAGAGAGATGAGAGTGGCCAGTGAAAGGAGAATGAACAAGGGTTTGAAAAAGGAGCGAGATTTGTGGGCGGGATAAGGAAGAAGGGGGTCCTCAATGTTTCTTGAAGATGCCATTAGCTTTATTTCGTGTGAGGACTTTACGATGGGTTTTGAAGGTATTTATAGAACTAAAAGTGCAAAGCTTTGCCTTTTATTTGTTTATTAATTTATAAAATTAATATTTTTTTAACAATTATATTAAGTGTGATTATTAGAAAATAGAAATTTACGAGAGTAAAATTAAAAGCAAAATATATATGGGACATCACAAAGAGATTAAATTATTATCTCTGGTGTATGTATGTTTGGACAATGACGATGATCTGAATACACAAAATACACGATGATATGACTGAATTATCAACATTGTCCAGATGTGTATTTATCAAGCATAATAATTTTTCAAAAAAGGGAGATGAATGAAGTTGCCCTAGGCTTCAAAATTTTTTTATATAGAGAGTCGTAATATATTAATATAAAGTATAATAATAATAATAATAATAATAATAATATTTTAAATATCTCATTTAAGGAATGATGTTTTAATTTATTTATATCATTAATGAGCGTGATAAACTAATTCTATTTATTTTATGAATTATTTGTAATTTTGATAATATTCAAATTTCGAATCATTTTAGCATGTAAGATTTTGTATCGTTCGTGAGTACATATAAATCATTAAGAGGGTGTTTTTGTAGAAAAAATGTTGAAGAGAGAGAGAGATCAATGTAATATCTAATAAAAGTCTCAGAAATTACCTATTGAACTTGAGTCTTTGATAAGCCGAAATATAAGGCTTGCTCAAAGCTACAAGTATTTGGAGAGAGAAATAGAGAGATCTATCCCTAGAAACCTAAAAAAATTCTTAAAAAAAAGGAGGGAGAGTCCTTTTTCTCTTAGCTTGACCCTTTTCATACAAGAAACAATAATAATAATATACTTATTATTGTATGATTCACATCTGAGGCGTCTTAATGAAAATATTGTGATGTGGATGTGAGACGACGCTCTTAAAACTAAATGGACATGCATCCTTTGTGTTTTCGTTCTTTACAGTTGAGCTTTTTTATGTCGCCGGTTTGTCGTATTGTTGGCGTATAATTCTCTTTGCAAATAAGTCTCCATTTTGAGAAGAATCGAAGAGAAATAAAATTCGGCGAAAATAGATAAATTGTTTAAAAAGAACGTGGATAACTTTCATAAAATAGCCTTCGAGCGATAACCCAAGAGCTTACGTTCGAAATATCGGATAAAAAAAGTCATAGAAACATATCTATGAAGAAAAGTCCTATAAAAGCAACCACAACCAGAGAATCAAGCTTTTGTGCTTGCTCTGGGTCAAGAGCAGCTCCCAAAGGAATGTATTACTTAGGTTAATTATATCTTGGGGGATGTCTAAGAATACTCTCGATAAAAAGAGTTTTGTTTATATTATTTTTTATCCGGTTATTTAGGAAACCAAATGATTTTGATCATTTTGAGCGGGAGAATTCAGATGCTTTCAACACCTGTAACAGGTCATAGAGCAGATGGGAAATCACCGTATCCACTACGAGCAGCGACGTCTAGGAATGCGGGGCCCACGAGATGATATCAACTATTTTTCAAATGAATGATAGGGCTAAAAAAAGGTGTCATCTGAGAGGGAGGAATCTTTAAACAGATAGAAGTGGTGAGGTGAAGATGTCATGGATTTGTTATCCTAAGTTATTGAGGCCCTAAGTCTATGTGATCGTGAAGGTTGTCGACTCAACCCGACAAGGGACCTCTTGTCAATTATCCATGAATTATGTCTTCTAAGAGAATCTCGGTAGTCCTAAGGCCAGAGGAAAGAGACCTTTAATTTCCTATCACTCTTTAAGTTGTGGGTGGAATAGGTACAAGCAGGACTTATACTCGTCAATTCAATGACGAAGATGTCGCTAACAAGGAGAAGAGGAGAGAGATTCACTTACATAGCTGGAACCACCTCTAACACCATAGTCATTCTAAACAATCTCTTATGTAGAAATTTATGCTTGGCTTAGTCAATTAAAGGAGCACGGGGAATCCTTCTCCAAGTGGGATGAAGCTCTCCTTTTTCACAAGAAGAAGAATATTTTCCTCCGAGAAGCTCCTCCACGATCTTCCCACACACTTCTCTCAAGAGTTTGATGGAGGAAGAAGAGAAATGAAGATGAAGGGAAGAAGATGAGTTTGAGGGAGAAGTTCCTCTCAAGCTTTCCACCACACTAAGGTTTTTTCTCCTCAACTTCTCTCGGTTGGATCAAAGGGGAATGGAGGGAAATGCTTTTCCCTAAGTCTAAGCTCTTTGACCCTTGCTCAACCCAAAATCCCTCTCGATGAGGCATATGATTGGCCAACATTCATAGTAGGAGGTTAAGCACTTTCATGTGACTTTTATCACCATTCCCCAAGTCCAATTTTGGCTCTTAGTGGGGTCAAAGGGTCAAAGTAATCCCAAAATCAGAACCTGGATCGGTCTAGGCACGGGTTTGCCAAAGTCGTGGCGCGGGTGCGTCGGGGTCGTGATGCGGGGGCAGCCAACTCTCTATCTTCCGGCGCATGTTCAGTGCAAGTGAGCTGAGGTTAAAGTTGGTGCACCCCAATTGCAGTGCGAACATGCCCAGTACACAACGCGGGTTCATCGTGCTTACGGTCTTCCTGCATGGGTCCAGTGCAAGTCCGGCACGGGTGCGCCAGATCATTGAATGCTTGGGTGTGTTGGGGCCAAAACTTGTCCTTTTGAAGTATTCGATGTGTTTATTGGTTCGTGCACCAAACAATAGAAATATCAATGTCCTTACCAGACAAAATCACGTTTCAGACCCGCTTGCGTTGTTTATTTTGTCATCTGAGGTCATACAGATAAATTTACCAATGATCGAGCCAATTTGAGTCTGATCATACGTGAAGTGACTTTGTCAACGTTTTGAGTCACGGGAACATGTGTATTAGAAAATACGATCACATAACACCAAAAGCATATGTCAGACTCGTAAGCCTTTAAAAATTAATGCCAACATGCTGATAATGTTGACCATCTCTAATAATCGTACTTCTCTAGGTGGGTAGGCTGCCACCATGGGTGAAGGGAATGATTTCAGTCATTCCAGGAGGTGGGCTCAGTTCAGCCACTTCGACAGGTAGATCTAGTTTAGCCATTTCAACAAATGAGCTCAGTTTAGCCATTTGAGTAGGTGGGCTGAGTTTAGTCACTTCAGTAAATGGGCACCATTATACACAAAATAATCCTATACAACTATATTTGTGTATACATTTAGTTCCCTGATTCTCTTGACCATTCAATTGGAGTTTTGTTAAAAGAATAAGAGAATGAAGGTTTTTACTCTGCAATGTGGATCTTTGGCTGCTTTCAAGTTTGATTGACTTAACGTCTCGAATCTTCAAGGCAAGAATTTAATGTTTTTTGATAAATGGATCTAATAGACCCTGGGCCTCAACAACTTTTCGACGATGACTCAAGTCATTCACTCTCATTAAGGAATTAGAACTGACCTTCGCCTGAGAAACTTTAGGCTTCACCTACAGGGAGTAATCTCTTGAGTAATGCCAATAAGAAAGACCTACTTTCTCCTTGGGCTCAATGGCTCGCTTATCAAAAATGATTATTTCAATTGTTTCTAGTTCAACATGTTGATATCCATTGAGACTTGTGGCGTAATGTTACTTGAGTTGCCTAAGAAAGAAAAGAAGATGCAAAAAAGTAACTTATATAATTGATAAAATTAATTGTAGTTGCTTAAAGTCTTATGTATATACTCTCATTGAGGTTACAAATGTGATGCAACCAAATAAAAAGCTTTACGTTATTGAAAGAAAGCATCACACTGCTTTGACAGAATTGTTGTAGCCATAAGCAAGAGCTCTGACATTTGAGATAAAATTCTGCTATCCCACATAGAAAAAAAAACTCTGCTGCATGAAGCAATTGACTCTTTTGAACTCAAAAAAGGAATCATGGAAGAAAATCAATCTCTCTAAGGGACATGATGTCCCTAGAGAGGGCCCTTCTTCAAGTTTGTCGCTAAAGGTTATAGGCACTTTGGATCCTTTCGTCGAGGCACCGTGGAGGGCTAGGTTGGCGGTTGAGGTTTCACCCTCTCTACTCGAATCTTGCTCACCGAGAAAGGCTTTCTTAGATTTGAATAATTTGGTAGAGTATTCGCTTCCAGATGGGATTAAGGAACAAGAAGAAACTAATGTGTTGGTTTTCTCCAAGTTTGATTCTTTTGGTGTGAATGTTTATCTTTGTTGACCTTTGAGTTATGATTTTTACAGTGAAATCTCATAAGTTTGTTTTTATAATGTAGATAAGGCTATGGAACGAGAACCTCCCTCAAAAATGATATTAGAAAATCCCATATCAGAAAAGGGAGATCCATTAATGATTCATGATGTCGAGGACGAAGCTAAGAATCATGAGAATGAAGGTTTGTTCCCATAAGGTAATGCAATGAGATTTCATCAACCAATCGCTTCATTCCTTACTGAATATGATACTTTGCTGCTTTCAGAGATGTCAATCAATCAAACCATGGAGGGCCTTAAGATGGAAACTACTGTAAAAGAGGACCCCATCCAGAGCTGCCCATTATTGATTTTCACGTTGTTGTAGAGAAGATGAGTCCAGTATTGCGGAGCTTCTAACTTCGATGATGTAATTTGCATCAGAGCCCAGTCCCATAATCGATTTCATCGTTCATTTAGTATTCGAGATAATTTGACTGACCATGTGGCTATGCTTGAGGGTGAACTCATGGATGTGTCATTGATTTAGAACGTGGAGAACTTGTTGCCAATTCAAAATCCTAAGAATGAAGGGTTGAATTCAAAGATGATTTTACCAAAGTTTTTCAGAGATTGGAAGTTGTGGAGGCCCAATTAACTTCTTTCCAACAACGTGAAGAGGATTTGTTGAAGCTTGGTGAATGTTGGACACAGTCGAGGTTGAATTAGTCTTTGTTTGGCAGCGTCTAGAGTTGGGCAATTCTAAAAATGGCTGGCTTCCGAATAGTGCTCTGACACCTTCATTAGGGATTCAACAACATAGAAGGCATAAAGAGCGTTGACTTGTATCC